TCCAATTATTTAATTAACTGCTCTTAGTTTTTGGGAATATATACAAACTATGCTCTAATTCTAGTTACCGATCTGTTTTTACTATAATTTAATTTGACAAACCGGGTCTTCTCTACATTCTTTTTTCTGTTTGGTGCGATTGCAATAGCGAGTCTTGATCTGGACGGACCGGAGGGGAGCAAAAAATAGCTCAGCTCCGTATTTTGACGGTGAAGGACGGAGAAGACGTACGTGGGCGGTGACGAGCGGAGGATGTGGAACAGCTCTCATTGATTTACATGACAGACAAGTACTCCGTACGTGAGCGGGGCGGAGCGCTGACGGAGTATGTGGAATCTGGGGGTAAAGGAGGACAAATACACGTCCGGCTGGGTGCAGCGCCGGACGCCGGACAGTGCAATGAAAATCCGGACTGTCCGCCCTAAAGCCGGACATCTGGCCACCCTAATAGACACTGAAATTTGCCAGAGGACCCAGCTGTGACTGCACTTTCTGCAGCAACGCTTGCCACAGGAGCCACTAGTGGTTTTCTACATTGCCAATACTTAATCTAAGCTGTGAACATACCTCACTCGGGGGTAAGGCTTATCTACAATAGCATGCAGATCCAGACTGAAATGGACACCTAAGTCTGCAGAGAGGATCATCAAGGCTCATCTTCCCTTGACATAGGAATTATACAGGTTTAAGGGTAGGGAAACAGTAGCTAATCTATCCGCAGACCCCAAAGATCCTGGACAATAATGATTGAAGTTTTACGTTGGCAGCACAGCTGAAGAAGCAACCACTACAGAGACAGTGCTTTATTTTTCTCACAGTCTCTATGATGAGTTGATCACCTTACAGCCAAAGTATCCAGGTATTAAAAGGATGAATCACAGCCAAACATTTTTCCTTTTGTATAAAAAAAGCTATACAGTATGTATACATACAAGTAAAAACGCTGCTGTTGTCTTTATTTTTCCTTCTATTAATTTATCTGTCATACTTTTAAGAGTTTTAGGGTTCCTTATTCTAATACATGATGGTGCACAATCTAACAAATCTAATATGTTCTAACTCAGAAGAGCTTGAGTGATAAAGAGAAAATAAATTCTAAATTCTAAATTAATTTCATTTTGTATACACTGTGTATACAAAATGACAATAAAAGTTGTTTAAGTCTAAACTCAAAAACTAAAGTAATGACTTAACGAGTCACATTTTTCATTTTATTCTCTATTCTTGATTTAGTTGGACTTGGTGAATATTTAGAAAATACTGCATTAGTAAATTGTATTACCGCTAGCATTTCAAGGACTTGATAACCAGCTTAATGTAAGATATTCAGTGTGTTCTAATTTGCACATTAATCAGTCAGCTAAACCTGTAACCTCAAGCTCTTTCAATTTATTCTACAAAACGGTTTGGATCACATGAAATAAGAGAAATTGGGCACTAAAGGAAAATTAAATTTTATGCAATCCAATTTTAGGGTCTGTGCGTCTTTGAACATATCTAGTAAACATTTTATAATTGTTATTAAAGCCATTTCCTTGGAACAAAATGGTGATGCTGAATAAGGAATAAGAGGAAATATAAATGTAATGGTAAACATTGAGAGAAAAAAATGTATGACTTTGTTAATTTATTTAATTAACCCAATGCATTTATCTGCTCCCCCACCTATACCAGATTGTATATAATTCTCTATGCAGTTCAAATAACTGTAACTGAGGTGAAGTTTACATGTGCTGACTACAATTGTGCTTGACTGTAGGTGAGGCGTTGCATTGCTTCTTTTCTTTTGATAGAGTATAACATACTTTATGGATTTTCTTGTTGGACTTCAGATTAATGTCCCTTTCTTCAAGCTTACTGCACCAAACCTCAATGGCAGTCTGACCACCTGCATAGTTTATGGAACTGTGATCTTCTTTCTAGATAGCCAGGAATAATCCCAAACTATTACAGTAGTTAAAGCTTCCTTAGTAAAAGTGTTTACAGATTTCGTGCCTGTAGATGGGATTTAGAAGGCTTTTACAAAATACTGTTGTTCAAATCTGCCAAATCACTTTTCCTCATAATTGACCTATTTTCTTCCAGAACTCTAGGTAAAATCATAGCTCTCAAACTGCTCTCACTAAATTACTTCTTGGTAAAATAATAAAAACGAACTCAAAGCTCTAGTATTTGTGCACAAGATATTATAAAGGATTCCGACTGCTCTTGCAAACATTTAAAACAGCTTACCCGCAGGCAATGCATTAGTGTTTATCTTTCTTTTCTATGTTGATTGATTTCATGTTTGTATATACAGTAGCACTATCTTACTTAACTTACGTATTGCATTGCTAACGATTCTGGTCTGATGAGTATGATTCTCGCATTATCTTTCACATGAAACTGTTTTATTTTGTGTCTGTTTATAGTCGTAAACGAAAACAAAACTGAACATACAATTCTGTTCAGTCTTTTTCACAGACTGGGCTTCTCCTGATAAGAATTTGTTTCTAAAAACATTATAACATCTACTTCTCATTATTGCTGGAGAACATGGCAACAAGCTCATTCAGTGAATGTGCTACTAAAACAGTTTAGGGGAATTATGTGGGCGCAGTGAAAGGCTAACAGTCAGCTTTACTGGGCTCGCAGAAAGAAAATGTCAGTTTCAGTAGAAATACCACTTATGTTACTTGTAATAAAGAAGCAGTCTAGATTATGCTTATTATCACTCTAAATCATCCTTAAGCTAGTGTAACATACAGTTGTATGTTGTAGTATTATACAACAAATATTATTTTGTCATGACTGCATTTGGTCAAAATGTGTCCTTTGACCAGAATTTAGAAAAAGAAACAGTTTGAATTTGCCAAGTCATATTTACTTATTCTCAAAATGTCAACATCCTCTGCAGTGCCCCCTCTGTGAACCGTGAACAAATAGGGATGGGATCCAAGCTCTCAACTACAGTGCCAGCTTTGTTTTAAGCCTTGGATACCAGTGCCCTCTAGTGCTCATACTCTAAAATACTCAAAACCGATCTTCTAGTTTTGGAATAATGAAAATAATTCTTTATTAAGACAATAAATCTATGCTTTGTATATAATTCTCACTATCTTTTATACTATGATATTACTTTAACAATATAATAGAAGCTTTGATTAATTTCTGTACACAAAGCATGGAACTGCAATTGGACTGCACATTACCATTGTTCTGATATCAGCTCCTCTCAGACGGGTTTTAATGTGAGTGTGTCTACCTAATGAGGCTTGCCACAATTACAGAGGGAGTGGCAGTTAAAATGGGGACAGTCAATCTTTTCTCCCTTTAATAACCAGATCAGTCAGTCTGAAATGTTCTGCAGCCGGCAACGTTCTGTCCACCTGCTAAAGTTATGTCATTGCAAGGTCAGACTGCGATGATCTGTTATGTGACCACAAGATGATGTGTATCTTTCCCTCAGAGAAGATTATTCTGTTATGTTTATAGCCCTTTGGATATAAGAGATGAAAATAGGAACATATTCTTGTCGTTATAATTGGACTCAGCCTGTTCTGCTTTTGATGGCAATGTCTTTGCTTGCAATTCAGTACCATCTGGCTAAGTCGTTGCAGTCGAAAGCTGGAAGCTGTTAGATTAACCAGACTTCATTCAGAATGTTATCATTGGTTTAGGCATGTTGGCAATACCCATTACTTATGAAACTGCCCAGATTATGAGTGGGCCTTATGTTAATCTGCTGTTATCTATTCCCGAATAATATGACAATTTTTCGATAAGAAAAAAAAAATGTAAAGGTGTAAAAAAGAGGGATAGATGAAATTAAATCTTTTTATTTATTGATTTTTGTTTTCATTTGACAAAGATCACTGACAAATTTTTGTGGCAGCGAACTTTCCAGGTATCTTTGCTGTCACTGTGTACTCCATCAAACAAACAGTCCAGCTAGGTCACCATATCAGACAAACACAATAGGTTATGTGGACCTGGTAAACATTTGTTCTGTTCTTTTTCGCAACCCACCAAAAATTAGCATTCAGGATTTACTTTGCAAATCCAAATTTCATTCCTAACACTCAGGGGATATTTAGATCATGATATGACCTGGTAAAAAAGAGGTGTTAGCTCCCAAAGTAGCAGAAAAGAGAAAGCCTTGCCAAAAAATGCAAATTGTTCTTTATTTTTAATCACAGTTAGAAACCCATATCTTTACTGTTGTAAGGGACGTTATTTGCAAATTAGCTATTTTCTAAATCAGGGGTCAACAAAGAGGTGCCCACAGGCACCAAGGGGCCCTCAAGGACAACATGGGGGACCCTCAGCATTTTCTGAAAAAAGAACAACTCACCAGTGGGCTGAGTTTAAAGTTTGATTTGATTCTGTTGCTCTTAAGTTTTAATCACTTATAGACCATTTCATCATATTAGTCATATAGAGAATTTAACTACTTATAGGGATGACAATATTTAAAGAAAATAGAGAATTAAAAGAAACAATAAAATATATGTATACTATGCATGAAGTTTAGGGGAACTCTGATTCCTCCAGAACATAGGTCAGTATTGGTGGCCCTTCTTATAACTCAGTACCGAAGAAGAAGCCCTCAGCCCTAAAAAAGTCGGTGACCTGTGATCTAAATGATTTCCCTTTCAATACTAGATGGGACCTCTGCAAGATATATACTGTAGTATGAGACAGGCATCACTCTTTGAATTACTGTAAGTATAAACCTTCATCATCTCCAATTATAATTGTTTAACTTTCTATTGTTCTAAGGCACACTATACTATAGGGCCGCTAGAGTAAAAGTCCGATTTCAAGGATTAGATCATATTTTAACAATTATTTAACTGGCAGATATTGGCAAGGCAGTGTGTACAGCATAAGACATTGAAGTAGCAAATCAAAGGAAACAAAAATGTTGCTCTATATTTTTAATGGTGAGATTTTGTAGTACAATGAATGCATTTACGCCTATGTTCTTTAATATAATACTTAATATTTCAAACCGTGGCTGTTAATTAAAAAACTGCTGACATCTGACAGACTAATAAAACATTTACGATGCTGGCTGTTATGTATTGGCAGCTGTTGTTTGTCCAAAATGGCACATTAGGCCACCGGCTGTCATCTGGTTTTTGCAGTTTTTCTGCAACAAAATAGATTTTATGAAGAAAACAAAACAAATTCTTGGCATTAATTTTTTCTCATCCGCTTCTTAGGAAGAACATAACTTAGAGGGACACATGGAACTAAGCAAGTGCAGTTCTGTCAAAAATAATAAAATGATCATATAATTTCTCACAGAAGCTTTTTTTTTTAAAGTTTGTGATGACTTACATGTTCTCACAGTTGGATAAAGTCAATACAATGTTGAATTTGTCATGTTCTTGTGCCATTGGGTGCTCCACATGTTTGGAAATGACATAGCCTTTTTGTGCACTGTATACTTTCAGAAACACACAAGAAAAACAAATGTAAATATGATGCAAATATATAAATATAATGACACAAAGAGGTAAGTGTAAATGTAAAATGATACCTCTGGGAGTTTTATCTTTACATCAACGCTATCTGTCCAGGCAGCAACAACTGCTGCTGACACTTCTTGCTTTGGATTCCGCTCATTTTCCAAGGAGAAGCCATAAAGGAACGCTACACCAGGGATATAGCGTTCAATTCTACAAGAGGACAGATTAAGTTGTAAACAAGTCAGACTTCAACAAGGATCTTTTTTTGTACTGGTGGAAAATGTATATTTCAAAATAAATATATTTACATTGGGATAATTGAGAAGCAAAACACCAGCAGAGTGAACCATGGACATCATTTTAAAAGAAGCTACTCCACCAATGATTTTTTTTTATGTAATGAAGCAGAATGGCATAAGTAAATGTTGGGAAAAGAGTATTTCACACTAAATATGGCAAGAGAGGCCTAAAATACTCTAGATGTTTTCCTGTGTTCTTTTGTGACCTTCTGAGCAGGTCATATTGACTTAGGAGGAGATTTGCTAGGCCTATCAGTCATCGAAAACTGTCAATGATTCTTTTTTTTTTTGTTTTTTGGGAAAAATTGGTCACAAGAGGTGATTTTTGTAATTCTATCCAGATTTTCGGATGTCAGACATTTAGTTTCTAATTGGTTTCCTTAATTTCCATAGATCTGGAGATATGTTGATTTAAAAAACTTGTTTTGCTTACTTTATATTACAAGACAGGTTTTGTTTTAGCATTTACTAGGTTAGTTTACAATTAAATGAAATAATCATCTTTATTTACCATCAAGTGAATGCTAAATTCTGATGAAAATACTGATTTGAATATGTCACACAAAAAAATATTATATAATACAATTTTAGGTAGTATTTTTATCAGTACACATAATTTTGAAAACTGTATAAGCAGAACAAAATACAAGGTATTATAACTTTATAGGTCTGGCAGTCGGCAGGCCTAGGTTGATCTTATTGACTTCATTTATCCATGTTTATTGAAAGATTAAGCAAGCGGGTTATTTTTCAGTACTCTTTCCTTTAATAAAGAAACTCATTGTTTGTTTTTAATTCATTCTGGTTCTCTTTGAAAGGTATCAAAGCCTGTTGATGATCACAAACTTCTTGTGTGTTGCAAAAAAGGCTAATTAAAAAAAATGGTATTGCCAGTACTGCTGTAGTTCTAATTAATGGACTATGACAAAGTTTCTGATATCTAAGGGGCCACAAGTATTCCATGATGGGTAATTTTAAAGTGCTTTATCAAAATCTTTTTAATCCTTACGTTGGAAAGATTTACAGATAAGATTGATCACAGATAGATTTCCAATCCTCTAAATGTTAAAGTTGTTAGTGTATTTCTTGGACAAGATTAAAAAAGTGGAAGAAATTTTATCACACACCACCCATTGATACGGTGCTCCTCACAAGATTCCTGACACAGGAGCAAAAAAATTTAACTAAAGAGTTTTCAAAGAGCTCATGACCAATCAAGAGTCATCTCAAAAATTTGCATTTTGTGGTTGGATGAAAAAAATATATAAACAAGAGGATGTCACCATAAACACCTTCTTTTGGAAGAGAAACCACACAACATGCCACACAAAAAATGACTACTATGACAGTGTTACTTAGTGGTGGGGACATGTGAGATTTAGTTTTAGTCAGTGTTAATCAACAATCACCATATAAGTAATAAAAGGTGGAATTAGGAAGTGAACTGTTTTTTAAGTGTCCCCATAATGAACTGCTAAATGTTTTCAGGTAAAGAAAATAAATCTGCCATAATAACCCAGTATCTAAAGCAGTCTATTATTTCCAGTATACATTTTTCTAAAAATATGGCAATCAGAGTGTATGTATATCAGATAGTATGATAGATTCAAGTTTGCTTGGTAAAATTGGCAACTAACACTTTAGAATAACGTTAATAGTTTTTCAATAAATTACACCCGCCCTTGAGTGAGCAATAAAGCTCAAAACGTATTGCTCTAAATAACTCAAATACTCAAAGTAAACAGCCTGTACTTACATAGTCCCTTTTCATGTCAAGTCTAAATCACTTTACACCACATTCAGTCATTCAAAAACACATAAGCAAGCTACATTTTGTCTACAACTAGCCTGGAAAGGGATGAAACTCTTAAACGGGTACCACATAGCCCTAAAACCACCACCAGTAGGGAATGCAGGGGGGAAAGTCTTGCAGGACTCAGAAGGCTGGGATTTAAAACATCAACCCTCTGGCTGCAGGGCATTGTGCCCTATACCACCCCATAGCGAATTCTGCAATGACCTGCATAAAAATCACAAAAGCAAATATATCCTCATATGGAATATTTGTTTTGTGATTTGGTAACCTTATTCGAAATATTTCTAGAGGAAAAAATAAATAATTTCATTTTCCCTTCCATAACCTCAACTGATACTCTCTCTAAAAAACTTTTTCTATTTCATCACACATACTTTCCTCTTTAAATTACCTTTTGCCAATCTCAACCATGTACTCCGAAATGCTGTTCCATTGAACTGTGGCTTTGAGTTCTGGCCTTGTAAAGTTGATATATGCAGCAGAGGCTTTCATTGACATATCATAGGTCTGACACTCAGCTCCCCATCTGACGTGTGCCTACAAGAAAGACAGGATACTGATAATGATTAAAAACTGCACAAACAAGGAAATAAATATTCTGATAATGATAAATTAAAACTGATTCGCTATTCTTTTTACTTCACACCAACCTTTGCCTCAGCACCAAGACTGGTATCAACACACATCTTCCAGTTGGTGTTCGCTCCAACTTGGGACACAATTATTTGGCCATTATGAATGCCTGTCTCGGGTGTATAGAACATGGCTGCATCATAACCCTCAGGCTGCTGGTTTCCACTCATAGCAAAAGCTTTGAAGTTGAAGATGGCTTCAGTTGTTGAGTTTTGGACCTAAACAACAAGTTTGAAAACAGGACATTACTGCTCCACGTGTGAATAATACTATTAATACACACTGTATGTTATGACAGGCAAATACTAATAAAAAAAAGATACAGTTTTAGTCAGAATCTCTTATTCCAGATTGATTGTAGAAGCAAAACAACAGGTTTGCAACTTCTTTCACATACTTCCAACAGGATGTTGTGCTGTATGTGATGATAATGTTTGCTTCTTCTGGCTTATACTGAATATAGATTAATTTGTTGATTTGCTTCCTCTAAAAACATTTTGTAATTTAATGAAATCAATACACCAGAACACACACTGTGATATTGATGTTAAATCAGTCGCCAAATACCTTGGAAAGCCTGCTAAGGGTTTCAAGCAGTAGGCGTGCACTCATCGGTTGTCTGCTGGTACCAAGGTCGAGCTCAAAGTGGATTTTTTCAACTGGTCTTGTTGTCTGGGCTAAGAAAAAGTGCAAAGAATTTATTAGCCCAGAATGTAGAAAAGGTGTGAACAAAGGCTGACTATATAACATGAATCTTACTAGTTTTGTGTTTGGGAGATGATAGTTAGAATGATAGCTATAAAACAAATCCTATAAGAAACAGTTTTTATGATAAATAAAAATAAATAAAGAAAACTATAATAATTGTTTATAATAACCTAAAAATGTAGATCTGGTCTTTACTTATTGTTCTTTGTTAAGTATTGTTGTTCAGGTGAAACATGTTTATAACCTTAACAAGAAGAATGAGTATTCTCTGTCGTGGAGTTTTTGTTGTTCGTTTACACAAGCTCATTGTTTCCATGTCTGAATCATGTGAGACTCACTTCTGAGTCTTGATTTAATCTCATGTTACAAAGCTTTGCACACCATTTGGTAAGAACATTTATATTACACCAGGGTTTCACATACACATTGGAGAGGAGGATAAGCACTCACTTAGCAAAGAGAGCTTATCTGCAGGACCCTTTTCATGCCTTGGGAAGATCTTAGCTCCACTGATTTACTGAAAACTACCCAAATATTTTTTTCTTACTGTTGTGTGCACTTGTGGCTGGTCTTTTGTGATCCATCTTCCAAAACAGTTACTCATGTTAACTCGCTAATGCATCAAAGGAGGTTCAAAAAAGTAGACAGGTGAAGAAGACCAATCAGCAGGTCACCAGCATGCTTAAACCCAGAGAATCCAGGTTTAATCACTCTCTCCTGACCTGACTAATGGAGTCCATAGAGGCTACTGAGAAAAACTCAGGTTATATTCTTAGGCAACAGTACGGGCATGGATGGGAAAGAAGGAAAAATAATATTTAACTTTAAATGCACATTGCACCTTTGAATTGCAGCATGTTGAATGATGCAAAATGTATTAAGTCAACTGTGAACTTCTAAGGAACAGAAAGTGTTATTGCTTTGATAACTTCAGTACCCTTATAATCGCACATTTAGCTTTTGAGCAAGACAATGTCAGATGTGGGTTATGGCACTTTTAGATTATTCAAAATGATTTAGTACTCCGTTCATTTAGAAAGACATTCTTTACTGATAGATATAAAGTTACAGCTAATATGGAAAGATTGTTCATCAAAAACAATTACATCAATCCTTTTCTCAATATTTTAAATGTTCCCCAAATCACCATCCATCCATCCATCCATCCATCCATCCATCCATCCATCCATCCATCCATCCATCCATCCATCCATCCATCCATCCATCCATCCAGCCAGCCAGCCAGCCAGCCAGCCAGCCAGCCAGCCAGCCAGCCAGCCAGCCAGCCAGCCAGCCAGCCAGCCAGCCAGCCAGCCAGCCAGCCAGCCAGCGATAACCCTCGGCTTGGGATCCAGACAAGGACTTTCTTATTGTAAGGCAACAGTACCACATACTGCACCACCATACAGGCTACATACACCATGCAATATTTGTAATTTTAAAAACACAATTACACACCTTGAGCTATTTTGATTGCCATGTGGCTGTATCCGAGAAAATAGTAAAGTGGGTATTCCTCATGGTAATACTGTCTCCTTAACTCATACTCCATGCAAAGACCAACTCCATAGATGTTGCACTCATAGCACATTCTGGACGTAGGATGCCAGGTGTTTGGTTTCAGTACCTGTTAGATAAAAATATTAATTACAACAAACTGAATCTGCTTCTATTAATATGCATCTTATTATTACAAAAGCACTGAATAATATCTGCTGTGACTTATGTTTTACATCATCACTGGGGTCAGTAGATGGAGACATTATTGGGGTGATTTTAGGAGAATCTGGCTCTTCAATGTTTCTTGACACTGCATACACATCTGATCTGTGTGAAACAAACATAAAGATGCAGCACAAAAATCCAACACATCAAAGATGGATGCAGGATATGCAGAACACATTTAAATGGTAAGGAACCAAAAAAAGAATGATGGAATTTTTCAATTCCATCATGATCAATGTGGAAAATATAGTCATATCTTCCTTGAATTATTAAATTCAGTCAGTACCCTAATCAATATTTAATAATTACCTCATTGAGAAAAGTTTAATTTCCTCCTTGCTACGAGGAAAGTCAAGCTCGAACTTCTTTTCCGGTACATTTATCTTGGTGGATAACTTCCATGGAACAGCAATTGGTGACTTAATCTTTAACTCTGAACCACTCTGGAAGAGTTTTGTGTTAACCCCATAGAAAACCCAGTAGTCCTTGGTAACACTAGAACAGAACAATGCACATGATTAAGCTATTAATTCTTAAGTAGTAATAATGTAGTACTAATGTAGTGCATAGAACAGACAGACTATCTATCTAGATCTAGATAGATAGATAGATAGATAGATAGATAGATAGATAGATAGATATAGACAAACAGACAGACAGAATTGGATTTGATCATATGCTGCGATAAAATAATTTATATACAAAAGCTTTTAAAACTACCTATTATTAGGAGAAAAAACATAATTAATGTCCTTATAAAATATTGTGCTAAAAATAGAACCATCGACACAATTACAAAAAACATTTTTTTTCCTATCAATGATGTACTTATGTATTATTCTAACTTTAAGCATAATTACCCAGCAAATCCATCTGTTTCTAGTATAATTTCCGAATTCAACAGCTGTCCAAAGCTTTCAGTAGGTGGGGGATTAACTGTAACTTTAGCTAGAAAAATAAAAAATACATATTTTTGCTGTTATCTTTGTTAACATACAATGCACATTTGTTTAGTTAGAATTATTATACCATTAAAGTTGATTGCAGTTATGGAGTTGTAGTATTTGCTGATCTCCACCGGTAGACCCAGAGTTGTAGCTTGGAAGTAACGAGCCTCATAGGTCAAAAATGGCCGGGTGTAGTCCCATGAGATACCTCTGTGTAAACTCTCCATCAGAGCTCTCAGAGGACTTGATTTCCATGTAGCAGCGCTAAAGGCCTGGAGGTGACAAAAAATGATTCCAAGCCTAGCTGACATCACTTTTTTTTTTTTTAATAAGCAACAGCAAATAAGGACAGACTCTTGATCTTACTGTGATTATATTCCGTAAGGTCTCTTTGCTCATGTCTGCGAAAAACCACTCTTGTCCAAAGATGCTAGAAAAAACTGACAGGACTGGTTTATCATTTTCAAGAGTCTCCCACTTTTGAAGCTGAAAATAGAAAAGTACACTGATTATCCTGTGTACACAAACAAACATATCACATATCAGGTCGTTAAACAACACAGTTACCTTTGTACAATTCATTTCAGCATTGCAGGGCCATACAATTAGATGCATACCATGGTGTTGGACTTTATTGTAAAGATGTTAACGAGATTTTTAAAAAAAGCATTTTGCAGTTAAAAATCATAATCTTGATTAGGTTGAATTAAATTCACTTGAAAAACAATCAGATCCAAAAAAAAACTACTTTTTTCTTTCCCTACACTAGTCACCTATGGAGTCTGCTATTACCTTATCCAAAAGAAAATATTGTTGGATCAGTAAGAATGGATTGCTTGGAAAAACAACCAATCTAGTTGGTGAAACAAGTTTTGGTTAAATTAACCGATATATAAGGCAGAAACTGATCATGCCATTGGTTTTGGATCAACCAATTTAATTGGTCAACCAATAAAATAAAATCCCAAGTAACCGATAGTTTACTAATCTGACTTATTGAGTTCTTTATTGTAAAGTGAAGTGGAGCTTAATTTAATGGCAAGAGAGCAGGAATGTAGACTTAGACACACTTTATTGTAATTTTGTTAACAAAGTGTTTACAAAACGAACTTTTGGTTCAGCCTATGTTTTTCAGCCATAATGTTGTTTATGTAAACACAATGCGTTTTTTATACTTAAACTAAACTTAATTTTAAGTTTAACTAAACCTAAAATTTACCATATCATACCAAAGTGGTACAATGAAATTAGCAGCAAAGAGGTGGCTTCGCTTTGAAGGCTTTTCTCCAGGGTAAAAAGATTTTTTAAAGCACATAAATACCCATGACATTTTAAAGGCATTATATCATTACCATATACATTTGCTTATAGGTGACTTTGAAAGGCTTTAAAAACTATGATACACAGTAGGACCTTTAAAGCTGAAATTACTTGTGAACATTTTTACAAACGTATGTTGCACAGCTTCTCTACACCAGCTTAGTGTGTGTTTTGTAAGGATTTTCCCTGCGTAGAGTATTACTCACCACACTGAAAATAGCCTGGAGATCATTTATACTAAAGTCTCCTTTAAATCCAGGAATGCCAGTTCCAAACAGGTCTTTTATTCCTTCTGCACTGATACCCAGCTACATGACACGAAAGAAAGAGTATGTTTTTTTTTTCATCATTGGAGAAATATGCAACTGTAATGCACATGTGAGCATTGATGTTGAACACCTTACCGCAAATAGATCCATAATTCTACCAATGAAGTGCAGTTTTCCTTTGAACATTATCTCAGAGGGAATGATGTTGCTTGCATTTTTTAGCATGAAGTATTCGGACGATATGCCAGTTAGCCAATTATCTGGATGAAGAAATTATACATTTTCAGGCAAGGGTTATGAATTTTTTGGTTCTTAACCAAAGTGCCATAAATCTTTTCCGACATACCATCAAACAAGTCTACAAGCTTTGCTTTGCTGTAGTAATAACTAAGACGCCCCAATCTGGGGGCAAGGATTCTTACAGCCAAACTGGAGGCAATTGAACTGTTGGCAAGATGAAAAAGCTAATTTTAGCTTAAAAATCTCAGTTGAATAAAGCTTTGCTTTCTTAATTAACTCACAGGTGCTGATTGTCAGGAGTTGTGGAGCTAGCAAATCCTTGCAAGTAGGAGTATGCAAAACTAGCAACCTGAAGATCTCTTTCTTCCAGAAGATGAGCTGTCACAGTGGACACAAGTGCCATTGAAGGTTTAGTGTTGAAAAGGATCCTGAAGGCCAGCATACGAACCTCAGATGGAACGTCCTTCTGCAGGAACAGGGCCATGGTGACATCTTGTACCTGAAAGCAAAATTACTGTAAAATTAGGAAAGTTGTTTCCCCTCTACTTCTCTGTAAATAAATGATAACTCTAACTATATTACATAAAAATTGGAAATGTTTGGATGTCATTGCTTTTATAAAGTTAAAGCTTTATTAAGATATTCTACTTTAAACTTGTGCTTTGTTGTCCAGAGGGAGAAATATCTGTTAGGGTTATTACAGTTGTTTTTAATTACTGTAGAGTAACACGCTTTGTAAACCCTACATCTTTTACAGATTTAAACTTGAATGTTTTCTATTAGGTTTTACTGTGATAGATTAACATAATGTTTTTCATAGGTGTAGACTGGACAGATAACTATATCCACATAAGATATACCATGTTAGATTTAATATATAACATTTTTACAGAAAAACCTGAAAATGAATAGTGTAAATTTTTTACTTGTACACTGGGGTGGAAGGTAGAAATCCATCCTAACCTTGTGCAGCCTTAAAGTTTTTAGTTTTTCCCCCAAGGTTCCTTAATGTTTAGCTCCTTTCATCTTCAGACCAGTACCCTGCTGAAGAAATGCAACCCCACAGCATAGTACACCCATGCGATTTTCCCGTCAACACTAAAGTGCTCAGGGAACGATGGAGTATTTGTTAATTCCTACATATTTATTTTTATTTATTTCATATTTAATCTATTTTCAAAAAAGATTATTTGTTGGTCGCCCACAACCTCGTTTGTCATGTTAACCAGAGTGAAGTGAACACTACCACTAATATTCTGTATTAGTGGTAGTGTTAATTTCATTGCTTGGGGCAAATTGCAAACAAGTCTTTTTGCAGCTTTCTATCAAGACTGGCTTTTTCAGATGGAAAAGATAAAACTAAAAGTAGTCTGGTAGGAAAAGATTTTACCAGCTAAGTCTTAGATCTCTTGAGAATAACTGAGTGAATTGGTTTGTCCCTTGTTAAATACTGTCATACCTGGTCTGTCAGTTTTTAAAATTCCATGTTATAGTAAGGCCACGGTCTTCCATGTTCCAAAACCAATTTTCTTTTTATATATATATATGTAGTTTATCTCCAGTGAAAATAAAAGGCTATATCTAACAAAAAATGTCTTACAGCTTAGATTAAAAACAAAAGTTAAATTACACAGCAGACATTTGAGCAATAAAAACGGTCTTCACTGCCTCTGCTGTGTTTTGGGGAATGGGAAGGTCTAAAGTTTACCAGAGTAATGAAAACGATCCTAAATCTAAATATTTTAGCTATTGGTTTAAAACTAACTTAAATATATTCTCTCCACAAAACAAAAAACAAAAATCTAAAAAAAAGAAACGTGATTTTCAAAAACATCATAGCCACAAAAGGTAGGTTTGCAGGTTTCCATTATCAGAGGATGGCCGTTAGATATTCAGACTTTAGGATATAGTCCCATAACATATCCTGACTTTAAACACTATCCCTGCCCTGTTATGTCCATTGCACTTCTTAATGCTGTTTGTCCACAAATATGCTGTGATAAAGTTCTGAAGTCTTCACAAAAAAGCTGTATTTATATACAGATTCAACTACACATCGGTGATCTCCTTTTATTTATCAAGTAATTTCCTGAAGCAATAAGTTTCACTGAATTATAATTAGGCTTTTGATTATTTGGGGCTGAAAACATTTCAGATCTTTCAGCTTTTGATTGATACAATAAAATAGTAAACCACAAATACTTTATATATTTTCTTACAATGTGCCACTTCAGTTGGTATCCTGCCTAATTTTCCAATAAATAACATCTTTTATATTGAATCATTAAACAAAAAACATACAAACAAATTCTTATAGAATTGTAAATAGTTTTTCCTGTAAATTGAAACATTTAGATGAAGCAGTATGCCATGTAATGTTCTTACCCTGTGAGGGTCTCTAGTAGTGATGAGTCTCATAGCCTTCACAGCGGCACTCTGCACCCAAACAGGCAGATCCACAGGAGTGGCAGCCACTCCAGGAAGGTAACGTATGAGGGTTTTCATACTCCCAGGGTGGCCTGCATTCCCCAGAGCTTTCAGAGCGACAACCATTTCTTCTTTGTTGTTACTCCTCAGAGCCTCTGTGGCAATCTCCAGCAGGGGCTAGTGTAAATTTAAAACATGTGTAAGGCTTAACAAATTTAGATGTACATCAGTTATTTTCAACTTTCAAAAAGGAAAAGTCTTTTTTTTCCTAGATTTATATTACCTGAACAGCAGATACTGGACATGGTGTATAATATGCACAGTACTTGTTCACCAGAGAGCCATAGGAAAGGGCCACAGTGTGCCACAGATAGGTGTTAGATTTACTGAATGGCATCTTTAGGAAAACCTGAAAAAATTAAAACAAATAAATCTTTGTTTATATAATGCTTTCTAAATATTTGAGGTTGATTTCAGAATGTCGAGTATCAAGATATTTGTCTTTATCTCACTCACTTTAGCCATTTCAACACGTTCAGGAGTGACTGCAAGATGTTGAAGAGCCATCAAGAGGGATTGCCAAGCTTCAATTGAAGTCAAATCCTTTATCTTAAACCTGTTCTCCAAGAAATTCAGCACTCTCTCATCTCCAACTTCGACAATAGAATTCAAAAACCACCGTCTGATAAGTAAAGTTAAAATAGTTGGAATCAGAATATATATACACTGTAAATTTTGCAATGTTAAAGTAACACTTTAAGAGTTGAATTTAACACCTGTCTGAGTGCATTTGGTCCCACTCTGAACTTGTAATAAATTAACTTTGCATAGCGTATATCTTACTCCACTTGTTGCTGTAATAACTCTAAAATAGTCAACGTACTTTGACACATTTAACACTGTGGAATTTACTGTGCAACATATGGAGTACCTTAAACATAAAAAAAATGGGAAATTCTTTACATTTGTCCCTGCAATATTATAAAAACAAAGATACTGTTTGGAACTCCTTCATTCGGGAGTATAGAAATAGTCTCAACAACGCAAAAGGTTCCCTGGCGTTCAGAGGTGTTTGGTAACAAGTTATTGTGGCTGAATTGGCTTCACTCATTGTACTGAAGTTAGCTGAGCTGTGCACTTATCTCTGTTGACTCAATGTTAGGTACAGTATCATGCCAACAAGGTGGCAAGAAAGAGCAAAGACTTGCTTATTCCTTACATAATACTCAGAATTCTGGGGTGTGGAATAGTCAGCAGTTATTCCATGGAAATGTTAATCTCATCTTTTAGGAAGTGCTCACCGGTGCTTGGGATTTTCTGCTAATTGCTTCCACATGTTTTCCAGTCCTTCATAAGGTATTACTCGCATGAGCTGGTACACCTTGATAACATCCTCAGTAGTTGCACTGTCAATACTTTGACTATTAGCCACAGCCAATCGCTTTATCAATTCAATAGCCTGTTAAATAGAATAGACAGTATGTCTTTGTTGAGTTTACAATTCAAAGTTGCCAAAATGTTACTTCATTTTGTGTTAGCTAATGTGTAGAGCCATAGTTATTACCTTTGGCACTGGATTATCCAGATTCTGCATCATAACTGGAATATTGATGTCCACATCTTCAAATTTGTAAACAATATTGCCTTTGCTTTCCACTGGTCCATATGTTCTGGCTCTGGCCGTGTCATTCACACTAAGCAGCACCAAGTTCTTCCTGCCAAAGAAATTGTTTATTACAGATGGCTTCTATCACAGATAAAAGTTAAAGTGTATTTATCCGCACTCACATTGCTTGCATCTTCAAACTACCACCCTTCACATTGAAAGGAGTGAAGTGTTGCTGCTCGAGCCCATGAGCTTTGGTAATGAGACCTCCCTCTGCTGTTGGTTTGACGGTGTAATTATATTTCATGGTTGAAACAATCGATTCTCCTCTCTATATTTAAAGAATTAAGAAACATAATAAGAGGGAACACAGGCCAATTTGACTTACAAATGCAAAGAAGACTATTTTAAGAAAAATATAAAAACCTCTTTGGATAGTTTATCCACCACAGAAGATGCCATTCCTCTGTACATTGCCGCCCTTTCCTTGCATTTAGTCACATCCACAACCTGAGTGATGATCCAATCCCCGGTTTCCTCATTTTCATCAATAGCGTAGTTACTATGACATTTACCATGGATTCCAGTCTGCACAAAAGTCACAATGCGTGACATCTTTTACACTTATACTTTTCATTTGTGGAACAAAGTGCTTAATTACATTTTTGTTTACCTCTTCCAGTTCATAGATGTGCTCTGTAGTCTTCAGAGTAACTTGGAAAAAACTAAGTATACCTCTAATGATGTTGACAACAGCAGTAGAAACCTCAGCAGATGCACGAATGTCACCAATGTGTCCATTGGCATGCTCAAACATGAATGGTTTTGCAAGCTCAGCAGCAATACGTTTTGTAACTTTTGGGGTGGGATTGTAGCCTGCATTCTTGTCTGGAAAGCCATTAAGGTCAGCAAATGACAATTCTGAGACCTTGAAACCAAAAACACAAACAGAAAGATTTGTTATGCTCGAACTGAATGTGTTTTTCAAGGGAACAAAAAAAAACTGTCAGCTTTGCCTGAAAAGAGCTTGCATACATTTTTATCTTGAAAGATGAGCATTTTAAGAAAACAAAAATGTAACAGTTTAACTTAGATTTGTCTGGATTTTCCCTAACCATCTAAGTGTTTTTATCCTTTCTAAAATGTTAACAATGAAACACAGACTGTATTGACTGTTGAAGCAAGCTCTGTTCCTCTGTTGTGTGACTAACTGTATGCTTACAAAAATGCATTCAAGATAAAGGCTAACTTTTTATAACCTTAGTACTTGCACTGAAACAATGAAAATATTATCGGCAGGAGTAATTTGAGTAATCAATGCAAACTGTAAATAAGTCTCTTTGCTTTAACCACACCAAGTCTGGTCAGCTGTGCACAACTTTAATGCAGTCTTTGAATAGGACCAAACCAAGTATCTATCTATCTATCTATCTATCTATCTATCTATCTATCTATCTATCTATCTATCTATCTATCTATCTATCTATCTATCTATCTATCTATCTATCTATCTATCTATCTATCTATCTATCTATCTATCTATCTATCTATCTATCTATCTATCTATATTACATTTCAAGTAACAGTTTTTTAGAACATAGCTGTATTTTTGGACTTATTCATTATTAATACTATGTTTGAGTTGTACTCTATACCAACTGTAGATAAAATATGTTATTTTCAAGAATTATTATGGATTCTGCAAGATCATGTCATTGATGAGAACTACAAGTAGAATTTAAACACAATGCCATTGACTCATTCCTTAAAGTAGAATTGATTGGGACTCTACTTCTTTCTACTGAAAAAAAAAGGAATAAATACAAAATAAATGTTGTTAAAATTAGATTAAAATCAGCCAAAAATTACATTAAACCTTGCCTTAAAAAAAATCTCCTATATGAACTGGTCCTATTGTATTTTAGAATGTTTATAGGAACTTGATTAGAATTTTGCCTAATTGTACCTAATAATAATGCCATATACGTTGTGGGCAAATTATATTTTAAGTTAAAAAAAGAAGAACAAAAACAAAAACTTCAACATCCCCATAGAGATGCATTATCCTTGCACAGTTAATTAGCAACTATTAGTTGATCAGTTAAAAGCTTGGTGTATAGGTGTGTCATTAAGAAAATCCACTGGATTGTTTTTAAATGTATTATGAATTGAAAAAGCTTCTTGGATGGGTAGATTGTTTTTAATTTTCTTTTTTTTGGCATGAATATGACCTGGATGGCTGAGAATCTTTCCCAGCATAATGTGTCATTAAGATATAAAGAGATATAAAAAAAACAGCTGCTGTAAACACTATGCCAACTGACTATGTCTTCCATTAGTTCAGTGTATAGTTGTGCTCTAGCTTGCTTTAAAGATTAATTAATAACTGCAACATTAAGTCTCATCTGTACATTGCTTTGGACATATATAAAATGGGTAAACAATGGATTCCAACCTCTAAAGAAAAGCAACGCTTAACTCTTTAAAACCAAGTTTATCATATTTGATACCTCTGCATTATCAGTGGGATACTTTTATTCTTCTTTGACACAGACACATGTAGGGAACAGAAGATCTATAAAACATAACATAGAACTCCCTAAAGTATCACAAATTCTACAAATGAACTACCTAATAAAAGTTATACAAAATTCTTTTTTTTCTTTCATTTTTGTCAGAAAGTTCAATGACACCTTTAGTCTGTAATCAGAAATGTCAATTGAGCTTTTCCAAAATTAATAAAACAAACCTTTAAATAATACAAATGACAAAAATGCATTCATCTTCCATCATTCTGATGTCCGTTTCTAGCAGGACCATTTCCAACTTTATGTTCTGTCTCTCTTACCTGTAGAAGGAACATTTGTTCAGAAACACCGGTGATTGTGGCCTTGCACTTTATTCGCAACCCAGATTCTGCCAGGTTTGGTTTGCCAAGTCCAAACTTAACCTCTCCTTCGTATCTGTACTCATAGGCTTTCTTGGGATTCAGAGCAATATCTTGAAGAAGTATTCAATATTGAAATTAGCATTCTTTGTAAAAGAAAAAAACATTTTCTTTACTAATTAACTAGAATACAATTTGATAAGAAAAGACTCACCATATCGTAGGTTTTGACTTGCTTGAAGGTTAAAAGAAAATAGACAAATTTGAAACTTTTGCGAAGTAGTGTCAGAAATTCCTAATTTTACTTTTGTATGATGAATGCAGTCAAGGAGTATGAATACTGAACTAATAAGTTTATTTAACAGACTTTTCACAGTATGCAGAAGATTGCATTTAAATGGAAACATAACAAATGCAAGTATTTAATCACATATTTAAAATAATGGCTATAAATCAAGGTGTCTGGTACATATTACAATGGATTAAACTTATTAAGCATTTCCTTACTCTATGTTTCACAGATATGATGTTAAGCTTTCAATCTTTTTATTAAAGGGTCATTTACAATAAAAGTAGGTGAATAAAGAATTGCTAATAACAGAGTTTTGACAGCTACACATAAACAATCTAAAATATATAAAGTTTTCTGAGTAGTAAAAAAGTTAGAATTAATGAATAAAAACCTACCAGTTAAAGCCACAAGCCAACAAAAGAGTAAGCCCCGCATGATGAAAGAGGAGTGGAGACAGTTGTATTTTGGCTCTTTAAATAAGTACTGGGATTTCATTTCTCTTTTAACCTTGATAGCAGATCACATGGATAGATAACTGCCTTGGTCAGGGTAAACATTTGCTTTGCTTGTGGTAAGTCACATCAACCTGTGACATTGTCAGAGTGACATGATCAACAGGTGAACAAGTTTGAGCACTGCCTTCATATAAGCCAATAGCTATTAGAAATTAAACATATTAAGTAAACTGCACATTAGTAAAATAAATGAAACAGTAGCTGCTGTGGACAAAAGGTTTCCAAACCTAAACTTACTTAGTAAAACAGTTTTCAAAAGGCAAAGGACAAAGGCTACCCACACATGATTTGCCTTGGTTACTGTGAGACAAGCACTCCTTATATAATATATTGTTTAAAAAAACTGACTCAACATTATTCTACAGTGGAAATCTGGGTTAGGTTAATGCTCAAATCACATCTGATGCAGTAGTTGCATATAGAAAATAAAAATATGCTTTTCCCCTTACTCTTAAACAGAATTTTTTTTTCTATATGTACTTGGAAGTCAAGAAATGCTCTGTTTTCCTAATGCAGGCTCTGAAAACTCTGCCCTGGCATCAAAGCACCAAAAAAAAAAAAATGCTCCTCCTTAAAATACATATTCAGGATGATGAAAGCCAGCTGCAATCACCTTAGATGTTCAATCTTGCTGTCTTTTACACAATGTTTTTTTTTCTTAATATATAAATTAACTCTTATTTTTCTTCTTTAATCATACTGAGGGAATCGCCTGGGTTATTTGACCCTTTTTTTGTTTTGTAGAATTTGAAGTCAATTTTTTTTCTTGCATTTCATTGTAAGAGCATGCTGTAGAGAGCAATGATAGTAATGTTTTGTGATTCCTGTAGACTGAATTGCAGGATTGGAGGGTATAAATGTTACTGAATAGAATGACTGAGAAGTTAGTTTTACCAATAGGATTAACCCAAATGTATTTAATAAGAAGTAAATTCAGACATATTTTCATTAACTTTACTACAGCCCATCAAAGCATCTGTATTTACTTTATTTAATCACTATGATAAGATGCATTTGTATCTGCAAGTTCCATACCTTACTCAGACTCGGATTATTCTGTAACAGTGAATAAACAACAATTTACTTGACTTCAAAATGTATTTATCTCTGTCCAATGTTGCCAGTTTACCTTTTAGTTTTTCTAGTGAAAAATAACTGGCTAACACTCAGATAGCTTGCAGGTATGCCTAAAGTCGGCCTCCAGGAACTGATGTCCTGCAGGTTTTAGAGGTTTCTCTGTTTCATCACAGCTGATTGTGATGATTGCAGAAGCATGTTAATGAGCTATCAATGGAAATCAGCTGCGGTGAGATAGGGAAACCAGGCATGACTGGTATCAATCAAACAATAATTGGTTTGACTATATTTTTTATGTAAAGGGGACATGCAAAATCCTAAAATCTTTTTTAGTTTAAAATACATTTCTTTGTGTACATTTCATTGTGTACACTTTGTCTGTAAATGTCCAATATCATTTAGTTTCATTTTTCATCATAGTATTTGAATCTGCCCTTTATTTCTCTTGCAGGGTTTTTGTAGTCCAAAATGAAGGATGCAAAAGCAACAAAAAATGAAGGATACCAAAGCAACAAGCAGATCCATCCATCCATCCATCCATCCATCCATCCATCCATCCATCCATCCATCCATCCATCCATCCATCCATCCATCCATCCATCCATCCATCCATCCATCCATCCATTCATCCATTTTGTTCCGCTTATCCGGGGTCGGGTCGCGGGGGTAGCAGCTTCAGTTGGGAAACCCAGACGTCCCTCTCCCCAGCCACTTGGGCCAGGTCCTCCAGGGGGAATCCCAAGGCGTTCCCAGGCCAGCCGAGAAACATAGTCCCTCCAGTGTGTCCTGGGTCCCCCCCTGGGCCTCCTCCCGGTGGTACGTGCTTGGAACACCTCACCAGGGAGATGTACAGGAGGCATCATAATCAGATGCCAAAGCCACCTCAACTGGCTCCTCTCGATGTGGAGGAGCAGCGGCTCTTCTCTGAGTCCTCCCCGGATGACTGAGCTCCTCACCCTATGTCTAAGGGAGAGCCCAGACACACTACGGAGAAAACTCATTTCAGCTGCTTGTATCTGGGATCTCATTCTTTCGGTCATGACCCAAAGCTCATGACCATAGATGAGGGTAGGAACGTAGATCGAACTGGTAAATCGAGAGCTTTGCTTTTAGGCTCAGCTCTCTCTTCACCACAACAGACCAGTACAGGGCCTGCTTCACAGCAGACGCCGCACCAATCCACCTATCAATCTCCCGCTCCATCTTCCCCTCATTCGTGAACAAGAAGTAAGTATCTTGGCAACAAGCAAATTAAACTTGAAAAAACAAGTGGAAAAAATAAGAGGCACAATTAAAACACTGACAGGTAAAAATACAAAAATATAAATTACAATATTTGTAGCTGTGTAATTTTATCACATTATGAATATATTTAATAACTTGTAGTTAAGTTATTAAATATCTTAACCATAAGTTATTATATTTTGGCTGCTCAGTGTTGCAGTAGGTAGCACTACAGCCTTACAGCAGGACGGTTCCAGGTTCAATTCCAGGTCCAGGGTCCTTCTGCATGGAGTTTGCATGTTCTCCCTGAGCATGCGTGGGTTCTCTCTGGGTACTCCAGCTCCCTCCCTCAGTCAAAAAAAATGACTGTTAGGTTAATAGTCTTCTCTAAATTCTCCTTAGGTGTGCATGTGAATGGTTGTTTTTTTTCTGTTTGTCTATGTGTTGCCCTGCAATGGACTAGCAACCTGGCCAGGGTGTACCCTGCCTCTCGCCCGTAGACAGTGGAGATAGACACCAGCACCCCTCGTAACCCCTGCAGGGATGTAGTGTGACAGAAAATGGATGGATAGTTAAGTAATAGGCCATTCGAACTAAGGATAAAACCAAATAATGATTAGTTAAATTATTAAATCTGCTATTTGCTTACTCACCAGTGTTCTTAGTCTTTTACATAAGGTTGGACCCCTGGACCAATGTCCAATCTTATGTAAAAGACATTAGTTGGATTTGGACAGCCCGTTTTGTTGCCTTAAAATCCAGTTGCCTTCAAAAATGTAGTTATCTAGGCTATGACTATCAGCAAAGTTATTTATCACCAACCAAAGAGATTGTGTCAGTTCATTCAAATGTTAACCAAAGGAGGGTGTATCCGGCCTGGGTAATAAATCTATCATTGCTTAAAATAACCACAAAAGACAACAGATTAAAATACAATTGTGCCTTTATTAGCAAATAATAGCTATCACATATATTATCACAGGGCTGCCAACCTTTCACCAAACCTTGAGTGAGATTTTTAAATAGTCTGGACAGGCAACGCTTATCAGGGTCACTGCATGAAAAGTGAGATTTTCGTCCCCGTAAACTCCCGCAGATCTGCCTGATTTTCGTCAGTTTCCGACAATTTGCAACCCGCGTTTGTCGTGCCACAAATTGTCGGAAACGGACTCTGACGTATGTGGAGAGCGATCAGCTGTACTAATGGCCCTAATTAGCATATGAATGCAGCAAACCCGCGCAGCTGGCCAGGTCTGGCTTGAATAACCTTCTCAGTATTGGCTGAAACCACTATTCTCAAACAAATGAAATCGCTCGTGATTGGCAGCAAAACCACACGTGGCCACGCCAGGCTTTAATTTTCTTACTGAGTATTGGACGGAACCACTTCATTTTAAACAAGTAAAGTCGCTCGTGATTGGTTGGCATATATATAAATATTTACATATAAATTTACATATATATATATATATTTATTCATATATATATATATATATTTATTCATTCATATATTTATTCATTCATATATTTATTCATTCATATGGTGTGTATTTATGTTATCCTACACTACTACACAATTATTATGCTACCATCAAGGACATGAATGAATTTATACAGGAAATGAATATTTGCCAGGAAGCTGTTTATGCAAAGAAAGAGCTTTATTGAAACACGCACACACACACAACTATATACAACGCGTATCCAAACACATGCGTTTCTAAAAATTAAAAGTCCGTTTGCTTCCTCGGGGTTGGAGGTAACTGGCAGCATTCCCTCCGAGGCAGGTCCGATGTGCAGACGCCTACTGTGCGTGGCCCTGTACTTCGGCATAGCTTCAAACCGGGACTGCAGCTTAACACATAGTTCAGTGAGATCCGGCCTACGAAATGGCGGTGACCGTACAATCCATCCAGAGACACCGCCAACGACGGCGGACTTCCAGAGTTCCACTTCCTCATCTGCTAGCACACTCTGCCTCGCTTTCAGCAGCTGAAAAAAAAAACAATGAATCAGCGCACTGCGTATGGACACAACACATCTATCAATGCACCTGAAAAATAGTCATCAAATAAAGTCTTACCCTCTTTCTTCTGGCCCGACTCAGAGCAGATTGCCTGGCAGCCTCCGCACGCAACGTGTTGGCTGGCTGCGTATATCTGAAGCTTCTGCGTACCGTCTGAAAATACGTCTTACAGGCAGCTGGAAAACAATTAAATGAGAGTGGTATAAATACAAAATCAAACGCAAGTCACAGTAACAAGGAAGGAGAAAACATTAAAACAAGTCACTTACACACAATGTCGTCTTTATCAACATCGTGCAAATCTGGACTTGCTGATATGGCTCCGAGCAAATAGGAGGCCTGTGAAAACAAAATGCACAGCTATGATCGGTATCTATCCTTATCCATTGCCTTTTACCGCAGAATGAAAGCATATTCTTTAAATCTTACCCTTGCTCCGGTTCATAGCCCCTGCTATTAGTCTCCGAGTTGTGAAGACGGCGTACTGCTTCCTGTGAATCACAAAAAATACACTTTAATAAAGCTTGTTCTTGCAAGGCTACTATTAGCGGTAGCTTTAGGCTAGGCTGCTATTAGCCGTAGCTTAGGCTAGGCTGCTTTTAGCCTAGCAGGCAGTAATCGAACATATATTTACCGCTAGCATCTCTTCTTTGAGTTCGTCTTGTTCGATGCAGAGTCGCCATCGCGTCCAAGAGGAGTTTTACCCCGAAATCCAGACGCTCCA